TGACCAAGTTTGCAGACCGACTCATCCTGCCCGCACACCTCATGACGCTGTCGCCGCCATTGGTCCGGCACGGTACTTCACGAAGCTTGATGCTAGACACGGCTACTGGCAGGTGCCACTGTCTGAGGATGCCCAGCCTCTGACCACATTTATTACGCCGTGGGGACGGTACCGGTTCCTCCGAAACCCCCAAGGTCTCGTCTCTGCTGGGGATGTATTCAATTCCCGTACCGACTCCGCTTTCGACCGGCTCGTCAATTTCTCGAAAGTCGTCGATGATGGCCTGGTGTATGACACAGACCTGACAGCCCATTACACTCACGTCCGGGACGCTCTGCTCCGAGCCCGTCAACATGACATCACCCTGAGTGTAAAGAAGTTTGTGTTCGGCGCACCGGAGGTTGACTACTGCGGCTACCGTATCAATGCTGACGGTTACACAGTTGATGGTGGCAAGACTGATGCCATCACTGATTTTCCCGTGCCAGCGAATCGCACTGATGTCCGCTCGTTCTTTGGTCTCATCAACCAATGCAGTGATTTCTCGCCCGAGATAGCCAAGCTCAGTGACCCGTTGCGTCCGCTGTTGAAGTCCAGCACCGAGTTTCTCTGGAAGTGAACACATACCGATGCATTCAATGCCGTCAAGTCTGCGTTAGCCTCACCACCAGTGTTGTCATTTTTTCAACCTGGTCGACCTCTCCGCCTGGAGACCGATGCATCCATTAAGAATGGCCTTGGCTATGTTCTGTGGCAGCAACAAGCTGATGCAACTTGGCGCATACTCCAGTGTGGCAGCCGCTTCCTGTCTGATGCAGAATCCAGATATGCTGTTATTGAGTCAGAGTGTTTAGCCGTCACCTGGGCATTTCGCAAATGCTCATTATATCTCTCTGGCTCAGCGTTTGAAGTCGTAACTGATCACCGTCCGCTCGTTCCAATTCTGAACACCTACTACCTTGATCAGATTGAGAACCCTCGTCTCCAGCGGCTTGTGCTGAAACTTCGGCCCTATCAGTTGCACGCAAGTTGGCGCAAAGGCAGCGATCATGCATTCCCGGATGCTCTGTCTCGCCATCCAGTCCGTGATCCCTGTCCTGAAGACGAGCTTGGTGAAGACTCGTCATCTCAATCCATCCGTGCTTGTCTACAAGAGGATTCTGGCAACTTGCGCTTCCATCAGCTCCGTTCTGCCGCGCATGCTGATCCTGACTACCAGCGCCTAGTACAGTACATCATGACCGGCTTCCCTGAGAAGAAGTCCCAAATGCCCGAGTCGCTACAGCCCTACTGGAATGGTCATGAACATTTGTCGATCGATAATGATCTGGTGATGAAAGGCCCTCGCCTTCTGATCCCCACAGCCCTACGTCAGCACGTACTGTCGGATCTACATGCCTCTCATCAAGGTTTGACCCGCACCAAGTCACGTGCACGGCAAATAGTGTTCTGGCCTAGCATATCCTCTGATATCGAGCGTGTCATCCGCAGTTGTGATCAATGTCGCCTCTATGGAGCTTCGCAGCCCAAGGAACCACTCCGCTGTGAAGACCGTACACCAAGTCTGCCCTTCCAACACACTAGCACTGACCTCTTTGAGTGCGAAGGCTGGCAGTACCTGGTTTATGTTGACCGCCTGACTGGTTGGCCTTGTGTCGCCAAAGTCGGACGCACAGCATCCTGGGCAGACGTCATCCGCTTATTACGTCGCTGGTTTCCAGACATCGGTGTACCAGAAGTGCTGACAAGCGACGGCGGCCCACAGTTTCAATCACACAGATTCGTCAAGTTCTGCGAACCGTGGGGTATTCGGCATGCAACATCCTCTCCCCATTATCCGCAGTCCAACGGCCTAGCAGAGAATGCTGTCAAAGCCATGAAACGGTTGATCCAGAAGACTACTAGCAATGGCGACCTCTACACCGATTCTTTTCAGCGTGCATTACTTGAATGGAGGAATACCCCCAACGCTACCGGCCGTAGTCCAGCACAGGCATTGTATGGTCGTCCGTTACCCTCCTTTGTATTTGCTCATCATGCCAGCTTTGCCCCTGAGTGGCAGCGTCAAGCTGAAGTGATTGATGCCCAGTCCAGCAAGCACGCTACATCTACACAGAAGCGCTACGACCAGTCGGCTCGTCCGCTGTCTCGCCTGGCCATAGGCGTGCCAGTTGATATCCAGCACCCGAGGACCAAACTTTGGTCATCGTATGGAATCATTGTCGGTATTGGCCAGCACCGTGACTACCTGGTTAAAGTGCCCAGTGGTCGCGTCTACTGGCGCAATCGTCGTTTCCACCGTCCCAGAGTGTTGCCTGCCCCGACATCCGCAGCAGCCTCCACTCCTGACCCTGTTGATTTCGCACCTATCAACATATCGCAACCAGATGCTGTTGTTGCCCAACCTGCGACTGCTCCAGCTCAACGCCGCAGCGGTCGTCCCCGCCAGCAGAATGTTCCGCTCAATATAATCTCAACCAGTGGACAATCTTTTGACTAGTTTCTGTATCTGATTCAGTTATCTAGCTTGCACACTTGCGTTATTGTTCTGCTGTGTTTTCTTTCTGTCTTGCGTACTCTGTCTGTTCCGCAAGCTATGTCTTATTTCGCATTTTTCTTAGACAAAATGTCTTTTATCTCGGAAGGGGCGTGGTGTATCCGTATATATCCCTTGCCTTATATGTATGCTGCGATCTCTTGCACTCTTCCCTTTCAACCATTTCACCGTACCGTACGCATGCTAGCTACCTTTATAGTATGCGTATCCATTTTTGTTGCCTGAGTCTCCCCCGCCAGGGGAATCCTGAGTTCAGGTTTTCTCTTTGACATGGCAGTTTATTTTAGTTGAGTGGTGGAATAAAACCCAACAGTTATCTCGTCCTCGGTTCTCAAAGGGTTAAGCTTACAAGTAAAACCTTGACAAACCTCCGCGAGCGGCGACGTCAGTCATAACTGAAAGTGACGGCACGAAAACACTGTCCTGGCTCTCAGCTGTGTGAGCTCCTCCGTCAAGCGCTTCCCTTGGCCTAGAGGCGGCCCAAGGAGGGATACCTGAGGCCATCACGAAATGTACAAGTGTCTGCAACTTCCAGAAAACGGGGGCTAAAAAATCACAACCACCCCCAATGAGCACATGCACACACGTACGCACACAGGAAGGCACACACACACATGCACACATACATCCTGTCCTGTCCTGAACATTGCCGTTTCCGGTTATTTATTTTTTATTTATTTATTGCAGCATCTCATAGCACAGTGAGAACACCGGCCAATACAAAGAGAGAGAGGGTGTTAGCCAACCACGGCAAGGAAGGGAGAAGGGGAGGAGAAGAAAAAAGGAACCGGCATGGATAAGTAGTGATTGCAACAAAATGAGAAACACAAAATCAAAGTCAAGGCGCGACAAGGCTCTTAAAAAGGCGGAGGGAAGAAAGGTCCTTAGCTTCTTGGGGAAGTGCCAGCCACGCAGAGTACGCAGTGAAAAGGGGAGAGTGAAGAAGAAAGGAGGACTTGGGTTTCGGAAGGGAAAGGGAGTTTCTCGTGGTACGGGAAGAAAACCAGTTGAAACAGTGGAGGTGAGGTGGACACAGATTGAGTTTGAGAGAATGGATAAGGGTGACAATATGTGAATTACGTCTCTTAGACAAAGGGGTAGTGTGAGCAAGGGCATAAAGGGTGGAAGATGGGAGCATGCGGGGTTTCCGGAGGAGGATTTTGAGAACTTTTTTGTGCTGAATTTCGAGCTTTTCAGCACGGATTGTGGAAATTCCAGCCCAAGCAGTATCTGCATAATCAAAAAAGGGGCGTATGTAAGCTGAGTAAAAGAGGAGTTTACAAGAGATTGGGAGATGGTAACAGTGAGAAGAGATGTTGTTTGGCTTTATTTAAAGTGGAGTTCCAAAACAGGCCTAAACCTAATGACAATGGTCCCACTGATAATAAGAGAAAAGAAAAATATATAATAATAAGCGGACAAACAGAACCAAGAAGAAGATACAGCTGTAGTTAGATAACTAATTTGAGCACGGCAGCAGGGGAAAAAAGTCACAAGCACGGCAACCGGGAAGAAAGGAGTGAGTGAGTGAGAGAGAGGAGAGAGAGAGAGAGAGAGAGAGAGAGAGAGAGAGAGAGAGAGAGAGAGAGAGAGAGAGAGAGAGAGAGAGAGAGAGAGAGAGAGAGAGAGAGAGGGAGAGAGAGAGAGGTAGTGAAGCAGATGAGTTCATCCTAGTTGACGGTACTGCCTAACAGAAAGGCCAGGCTTAGCGATTTGAAAGTGGAGCGCTTTCTTTCGAGGCGTGCTGTGTCTGGGAGCTGGTTCCACAGGATAGCTCCAGCATGGCTAATGCGCTTAGCTGAGGATGCAGTGGGGGAGACAGGAATGATGAGTAACTTGCTGCTCCCTCCTCGTGTTCGGAGAGAGGGACTACGGGTGAAAAAGCTTGCAAACAGAGTACTTGAAGATTTGTTCAGGCAGCGCCAAATGAATACAAGAATGTGCATGTGGGTGTATATGCTGAGGGTATGGGCATTCATGCGTTCAAGTAAGGGAGCCGTGTGAGTGCGAGGGGCTGCCCTGCACACCGAGCGAGCCGCACGTTTGAACAAACTATTTAGGCGCTTATCCTGATAAGACGATAAGAAAGGGGCATAGGCAGCAGATGCATAGTCAAATTCTGATAGTATAAAGGACCTGAAAAACTGAACACGGCAAGAAAAAGGCAAACATGCTGCACTTCGATTTAGTAGCTCAATCTTAGCGGCAACGCGGCGTGCAACATGGCTTGTCATGGTGTTCCAGCTCATGTCTGAGTCGAAATGTAGGCCAAGATACTTGGCCGTTTTCACAACAGGCAGCGTCTGCCCATTACAAATGACATGCAGCTCAAGTGCTTGAGATGGGGATGGGGGAATAGGCAATATCTGTGTCTTTCTTTCATTAAGAATTAAACCACGGCCCTTCAGCCAGGTGGCCAGGTGCTGAACAGCAGCTGAAAGGTGTGCAGAAACAGCTTCCGCAGACTCCCTGCTACATCGTATAGAGATGGCATCAGCAAACTGGATTGCTCCCACATTAAACGGCGATAGTTCTTCTGCTATGCCGCGGGCATAGACAATAAATAGCAGTGGGCCCAGTACCGACCCCTGGGGGACACCTGAGTAACTGGTGTACGGGAGACTTCTAGTCTGGCCAACCTGAACGTACTGTTCTCTATCAGAGAGGTAATCCACCAGCCAACAGAGTGCCATGTCGCAGATGCCAAGTTCGAACAGATCTTGCACAAGAGTTTGATGTTTCACTTTATCGAATGCCTTTGACATATCAACAAAGGCTACACCTGTGTTGAGTTTGTTCATACGGGCCTCACAGATACCTTCCACAGCTAGCACTAGTGCGTCGGATGTAGAGTGGTGGGATCTGTAGCCGAATTGAGTTGGCGGGAATAAATTGCTCTGGACTAGATATCGTGTGAGTTGCTCGTGGACTATCCTTGTCAGAAAAATACTAATACCGTATGTCTGCACCTTTTTAAAAATCCATGGAGTTATATTCGATTATAAAACCAGTCTCAGTTATAAATCCATGGACTTATATTCGATTATAAAACCAGTCTCAGTTATAAAACCATGGACTTATATTCGATTATAAAACCAGTCTCAGTTATAAAACCATGGACTTATATTCGATTATAAAACCAGTCTCAGTTATAAAGCCATGGACTTATATTCGATTATAAAACCAGTCTCAGTTATAAAGCCATGGACTTATATTCGATTATAAAGCCAGTCTCAGTTATAAAACCATGGACTTATATTCGATTATAAAACCAGTCTCAGTTATAAAACCATGGAGTTATATTCGATTATAAAACCAGTCTCAGTTATAAAACCATGGACTTATATTCGATTATAAAACCAGTCTCAGTTATAAAGCCATGGACTTATATTCGATTATAAAACCAGTCTCAGTTATAAAACCATGGACTTATATTCGATTATAAAACCAGTCTCAGTTATAAAACCATGGACTTATATTCGATTATAAAACCAGTCTCAGTTATAAAGCCATGGACTTATATTCGATTATAAAACCAGTCTCAGTTATAAAGCCATGGACTTATATTCGATTATAAAACCAGTCTCAGTTATAAAGCCATGGACTTATATTCGATTATAAAACCAGTCTCAGTTATAAAACCATGGACTTATATTCGATTATAAAACCAGTCTCAGTTATAAAACCATGGACTTATATTCGATTATAAAACCAGTCTCAGTTATAAATCCATGGACTTATATTCGATTATAAAACCAGTCTCAGTTATAAAACCATGGACTTATATTCGATTATAAAACCAGTCTCAGTTATAAAGCCATGGACATATAATTCGATTATAAAGCTAGTCTCAGTTATAAAACCATGGACTTATATTCGATTATAAAACCAGTCTCAGTTATAAAGCCATGGACTTATATTCGATTATAAAACCAGTCTCAGTTATAAAGCCATGGACTTATATTCGATTATAAAACCAGTCTCAGTTATAAAACCATGGACTTATATTCGATTATAAAACCAGTCTCAGTTATAAAGCCATGGACTTATATTCGATTATAAAACCAGTCTCAGTTATAAAACCATGGACTTATATTCGATTATAAAACCAGTCTCAGTTATAAAACCATGGACTTATATTCGATTATAAAACCAGTCTCAGTTATAAAGCCATGGACTTATATTCGATTATAAAACCAGTCTCAGTTATAAAGCCATGGACTTATATTCGATTATAAAACCAGTCTCAGTTATAAAGCCATGGACTTATATTCGATTATAAAACCAGTCTCAGTTATAAAACCATGGACTTATATTCGATTATAAAACCAGTCTCAGTTATAAAACCATGGACTTATATTCGATTATAAAACCAGTCTCAGTTATAAATCCATGGACTTATATTCGATTATAAAACCAGTCTCAGTTATAAAACCATGGACTTATATTCGATTATAAAACCAGTCTCAGTTATAAAGCCATGGACATATAATTCGATTATAAAGCTAGTCTCAGTTATAAAACCATGGACTTATATTCGATTATAAAACCAGTCTCAGTTATAAAGCCATGGACTTATATTCGATTATAAAACCAGTCTCAGTTATAAAGCCATGGACTTATATTCGATTATAAAACCAGTCTCAGTTATAAAACCATGGACTTATATTCGATTATAAAGCCAGTCTCAGTTATAAAACCATGGACTTATATTCGATTATAAAACCAGTCTCAGTTATAAAACCATGGACTTATATTCGATTATAAAACCAGTCTCAGTTATAAATCCATGGACTTATATTCGATTATAAAACCAGTCTCAGTTATAAAACCATGGACTTATATTCGATTATAAAACCAGTCTCAGTTATAAAGCCATGGACATATAATTCGATTATAAAGCTAGTCTCAGTTATAAAACCATGGACTTATATTCGATTATA